AAATAAACAAAATACAGGTAATCTTTAACTTACAACCATTTGTTTAATGATCATTCAAAATTACAGTGGCACAAAAAGTGATTTATGACCAGTACCATCAGAGCACTTTCATCACAATTTAGGTGCTTGGCAATTGGTGTTCATTTATAATGGTTGCAGCATCCCAGGATCACATGATTGCCATTTGTGCCCTTCCCAATGGGGGAAACAGGATTCACTTAATGACTGTGTGATTCATTTAATTGCAGGAATTTGTTTAAGAATCACGGCGAAAAAGAAGTAACTCATTTAATAATCGCTTTGCTTAGAGACAGAAATTCTGGTCCCAACTGAGGGTTACCTGTACTTAACAATTTAAACTCTTTTTACTTGGCTGAGCTACTAAGGAGAAGCTGCAAAGCTGCCAACTAGCATTTCACTTACAAAATGTTTAACTCAGCTGGGTGGCCAGCAGAGGCAAAAACTTCCTCCAAAAGAGAAGCAGAGCCACGCTATCTCAACAAGAAACCTAGCTTGGCAACCATATCAACCGTGCCTAGAAATAAATCTTTCCAGCTAACTCTGTTCACATCACTGAAACAAGAGATGCACACAGCTGGCACATATTAAATAATAATTAATAAAATAATAAAGACTAATAAAACTAAGAGAGGCAATTTGGTGTACAGGAGTGGTTAATGCATCAAGACAGAAACCAGGAGACCACGACTTCTACTGCCACCTTAGGTACAAAAGCCAGTTGGGTGACCTTGGGCCTAGGAAGGAGGCAATGACAAATTTCTTCTGAAAAATCTTGCAAAACTGTAGGGCAGTCACTAGGAGTCAGAAACTGAGGCACACACATGTACAAAACACCTGTCACCCCCAACAAACTTTAAAATATAGCCTGGAAGTCTTTATTAGTAAATGCCTGTTTGAATAAAGCTATTTTATTTCTGTGTATAAAAAACAATACAGAAAAATTAAGAAAATGTCTACAATGAGACAAAGCCTTGATACAATTACTAAGAAAATTTACTTCTCTTAGTTTAGCTTATCTTAGATTTTCTACTGATAGTATAAAGTGAGTCTCCCAAAACTGATTTTAAAACTGCATCTTTTGATTAATAGAAAATATTACTTTTTTCAAAATAGATCAAACATTTGTGACAACCATTTGTTAACATTTGGAAGAATCTCTTTTTTTCAGTAGATCAGTATATTCCTGATAAACAGATTCCAAAGGCATATAATTCATTAAAATATTTAGCAATTAAACATTTCCCCATAAATCTACTTATGAACACTAAGTAGCTATGGCATTCCAAAAGATATCAAATGATCATGCTCAATGAACCCTCAATTTTATATCTACAACATAGAAAATCTGATATCCATACTTTCAAATATTCTTGTTGGGGACACCAGTACACCCTAAATACATTTTTGATGAATAATCTCAAATCTTTTTATGCCATTTTAAATTTTTATGAATTCATTGATGCAGCATTATCTGAGATTCCATTTTTAGTGCAGGTTTGAAATAATATCCATACTTTAATAATATCCACACTTTAAAAATATTCTTGTGCTATTGATAAAATAATTAGGAGGTAGGAAAGAAACCATTTCTTCCCAATGATAGTCTTTGAAGATTGCTCCTTTGCATAGCAACATAAGAGTAATTCATTTCCCAATACTCCTTGAAGATTGGTGGTTGGTTCTATACGTATCTCTATAGTTCATGGAGGGGGGGCAATAATCAATAATCCTCTGGGTGACGGCAATGACCCTCTGGAGTGCTTTCCTATCTGCTACTGTGCCGTTGGCAAACCACTCACAAATGCAATAGGTTAGAATGCTCTCTATGGAGCAATGGTAGAAGGTCACCAGTAGTTTTTCATTCAGTTGTTTCCTGAGAAGTCTCAAGAAATATAATCTCTGCTGGGCCTTCTTAATCAGTGCTATAACATGAGCATTCCAGCTCAGGTCCTCCTTTATGGTAACACTCAGAAACCTAAAGCTTGCCACCCTCTCCACATAGTCTCAACTGATGATCAGGGGCTGATCTATTCCTCCTATAATCTACCATAAACTCCTTGGTCTTAGTGGTGTTGAGAACCAAATTATTGTCTCTGCACAAGAGCAACCATTCCACCTCATCCCAGTAGGCAGACTCATCCCCCTCGGAGATAAGCCCCATCACTGTTGTTTGTAAGCAAACTAATAAGTCAAGACAGTTCTGTGATTTAGACCAGTGGTTCTTAACCTGGACGATATTGCCCCCCAGGGGGCAATTTCATTTTTCAGGGGGGCAATGGAACGAAAAGGGGCAACACGGGCAAAGGAACGAAAAGGGGGCGATATGGGGACGATGGAGTAAGAAGTTTTGGGGACACTTTTGAGACTTTTTCGTACAGCGAATCACTGTATGTCGTACAAAAACATCAGATCACTCGCTATTAGTGGATTGAATTGTTTTCAAATGTTCCTCCAGCTAGCTTCAGTACAGAATGCCGTACATATATGAATACGCATCACTTATCTTCATGTGCGTTGCATAGCAGCCTCTACCCATACAGTGGCACGCCATTGGCCAAAATAGGCAGTGATGGAGGGGGCAGCGCTTCTTTCGAAACATTGTATGCTGAGTGGCTGTCCCGTGACATCAGCTGTAATGTCAACGTAACTGTTGAAACTAGGTTTATCGACGTCCACGTGTGTTTTTCTAGTGTTCCAGTGCAGTCGAAAATTTAATTTGCAGGTAGTGCCTTTCATTTCGAAGACCTCTCAACATAGCTGAGAAGAGGAAGTGTCGCCAATATTTGACGGAATACCTAAAATTGGGATTCATTCCATCTCCTTCCAACGTACACCTTCCGTTTTGTCTTCTTTGTGAGAAAACATTTTCAAATGAAGTGATGAAGCCTTCCTGACTGAAAGACCATTTGGTAAGAATTCATTCAGATAAAGCCGACAAACTGGCATTGTTTTTCCAATCCTTAAAGGCCAAGTTTGAGGGTCGCAGCACTGTTGGGGAATTATTTGGAAAATCGTCACTCAACGCCGACAAGGGGCTCATTTGTTCCTATGAAGTATCTTTGTTGATAGCAAAATGTGGCAAACCCCACACTATCGGAGAAACAGATTTTACCAGCAGTGAAACAGATTGTTGCTACCATGTTGGGGCCCAGCGCAAGCACTATCATGCAATCAATTCCTTTGAGCAATGACACCATATCAAAAAGAATTGATGAAATGGCTGCTGATGCGGAAGAAAGGCTTATTGACACCTTGAAAAATACAGAATTCGTGATGCAGATTGATGAGTCAACGATTCGTGAAAATGAAACCTTGCTATTAGCTTATGTCCGTTTCATCAACGGAAATGAAGAGATCAGGGAAGAACTGTCATTTCACTTGTAATTCAATCATTAAATGTTACTGTTTTTCTTTTCGGGTATTTCACTTTCTTGCAATTGAATTTTGTTTTCAGTGGTCATTACATTTAAGTGTCTTGAATAAATAAGATAATAAAATACATGTATCACGAAGTTTGGGAATAAAGCGACAGATGGCACCAAACTTTTTCACACAGTTGAGATATGGGAAAAAGACTGGAAATAAATTATTTGAATCGATATATCCTGATGACAATTTTAAAGAAAACAAAAAAAGTGTTTGCATAAATTGAAGAATTATTCCCTATGTTGTGATTGAGAGGTTATGTTGGGGGAGGGGGTGATTTGTTCAAAAAGGTTAAGAACCACTGATTTAGACTTGTTGTTCTAGTGTTCTAAAATCATACTTAATTTTTGCATGGAAATTGTACAAATAAATTAATAATTTCTAGGTCATGGTATCCTGTTCCCCAAAGGATATAGGAAGAATAGTACCTGCGGTTCATTCTTTTTTTAGCGTTGTAGTAATTTTTTTCCAGTAAGCCTTTTCAGTCGACTGTTTTATTAAATTATTATTTGCAAATGCTCTACTTGTTACGGCCATTTAATGAGATTTATGGATTTAATGAACGAGATTTCCGAGAACACCAACAAAACTATTTTAACAAACCGAAGGGCTTCGAAAACCCAATTCTTCCAGGAAACCATCGATGAGTGACTGGATTTTATCCCCGGCGCTTTCTGTTTTCCATGTGCTTTATATTCTTCCTGCTTTAAGCCTTTGTAAGTCGCCCAGACTGGTTTGGCGAAGAAACGGGACTTGGGAAACTAATTTGAAAGGACTCCGGGTTAAGAATTGCTTTTGGACGAGGTTCCAAGATGAGAGAAGGCAGACTCGGATCCTTTCCGTTCCTTCTTCGCGAGATCCGCTAAGCCAGCGTTTCTCAGTCTCAACAACCAAGATGCGTGAACATCAACTTCCAGAATTTCCTCGCTAGCACTGGGTGGAGAATTGACCTGGCTGGCGGGGGAATTCTGGGAGTTGAAGTCTACACATCTTAAAATTGCCGAGCTGAAACACTTCCTGCCTAGACGAACGCACGCCAGCGGTCGCTAGGAGATGAAAACAGTAATGATATCCACCCGACAAATCTTTTCCCGCCTAAAGTTAAAGAAGTCGAAGCTGCGTCGCATGCAGACGCCAAACAACCAACTGAGGCCACTGTTCCCCCCCCCCCCGGTTCCCCGCCATCTCTTTGGTCTGTCAAACCCAAAGTTCCCACGTGGTCTGAGCACTTTTGCGCGGGTTGAAGCCAGCAAGGAGACTCGGGCCTTAACCTAGAAAAACCGTCAATGAGAGCGTGGAGTGTGGGGGGGGAAACAAAGAATTGGGATTCCTGCTTCAACCAATGGGATGGAAGTTCTTCCAGTTCGGACCATTACCGCTCAAGAAATCGATGAGTGATTGGCGGTTCAGCCAACGGCCTAGTGAAAGTCTTGTAGGAAGGCGGGATTTCCGTTTCCGGTGCTCTGAGCGCTTCAGATTCTACGCTTTTCTTCACCGACAGGTCCTTTGTGCAATGAACACGATGTGCTCCGATTAAACTGTCCAATGCCTACCCAGTGGGCGGAGTTCCAGCCTGCCGGAGGTTCCAAGATGGCGGCGGGTGCGTGAGGCGCGATACTCCGCGCGCGATTCCCTCTTGCTGGCGCTTGCCGCCATGAAGGGCAAGGAGCGCTCGCCTGCCAAGGCCAAACGGTCCCGCGGTGGCGAGGATTCTTCTTCGGTGCGGAGCGAGCGGAGCAATAAGAAGCCCAGCAACGGCGGTGGGAAATCTGCGGGCGGCGGCTCGAGTGAGGGCGGTGGCGGCAGCGGCAGTAGTCGGCGGAGCCTTCATTTGGAAAAAGCGAGTCGGGCCAGTAGCCGTGAATATGAATCGGCCGCGGTGGGGGTCTCTGGGAGCGGCAGCAGCCGCCACGGCTACAGCGGGAGCAACAACAGCAGCAAAAATGCGGAGTCTTCCTCGTCCTCGCGTGGCAGCAGCAGCCGTGGCGGCGATTCCCGCGCGCCCCCCTCTGACTCCGGCAGCGGCAGTGAGTATAAGACGCTCAAGATCAGCGAGCTGGGCTCGGCGCTGAGCGACGAGGCGATCGAAGACGGGCTCTTCCACGAGTTCAAGCGCTTCGGAGACGTCAGTGTCAAGATCAGTCGCCTCCCGCCGGGGACTGGGTCTGGCGACGAGCGGGTGGCCTTTGTTAATTTCCGCCGCCCTGAGGATGCCCGAGCTGCTAAGCATGCTCGCGGCCGCTTGGTCCTCTACCATCGGCCGCTGAAGATCGAGGCCGTTTATGTAGGGGGCAGCAGCGGAGGGGGAAGCAGCCGGCGACGCAGCAGTCGTTCCCCAGCCCTTTTGGACAAGGAGTCTCCTTATGGGGCCTCAGCAGTGGTTGTGGCGGCGGCATCTCCTGCAACTATCAGGCACCCTGCAACTGGAGCGACTCAGAGGGCCCTCTCTCCTGCTGGGGGAGGGGCGGGCTTAGGGTACAGAGACTTCCGATTGCAACAGCTTGCCCTTGGTCGTCTGCCCCCACCGCCTCTGCCCCGGGAGCTGGAAAGAGAACGAGACTATAGTGGTTTCTATGATCGGGTAAGGCCCACATACAGTCTCGATCGAGTTGCTGGAGTGGCAGCTGCTGCATTTCGTGGGGTTGGTACAGGAACAGCCACTGAAAAAGAGATCAGTCCTGAAGATGACCAGAGAGCTAATCGCACCCTGTTTCTGGGTAATTTGGATATATCGGTTACAGAGTCAGACCTTCATAGGGCTTTTGATCGCTTTGGGGTTATCACTGAAGTGGATATTAAGAGGCCAACCCGGGGTCAAACTAGCACATATGGATTTCTTAAGTTTGAGAACTTGGATATGGCCCACCGAGCTAAGCTTGCCATGTCTGGTAAAGTGCTCTTGCGCAATCCTATTAAAATTGGCTATGGTAAAGCAACCCCCACCACGAGACTCTGGGTGGGTGGCCTGGGACCATGGGTACCATTGGCTGCTCTTGCCAGGGAGTTTGATCGCTTTGGTACTATTCGTACCATTGATTATCGTAAAGGTGACTCATGGGCCTATATCCAATATGAGAGTTTGGATGCTGCACAAGCTGCTTGTACCCACATGCGTGGCTTTCCTTTGGGTGGGCCAGACCGTCGCCTGCGTGTGGACTTTGCTGACACTGAGCATCGGTATCAACAGCCCTATTTGCAGCCATTGCCACTTCCACCCCCTACTCATTATGAGCTAGTAGCAGAAACATCAGCTTTTGGAGCACATCGTGGAGCGCCACCAGATCCACTCCGAGGTGCTCGGGATAGAACACCACCACTGCTCTATGGTGACCGTGACAGAGACCTATATGCTGAAACAGAATGGGTGCCTCCTCCACCTCCAGTTCGGGACCGAAGTAACCGAGCAACTGTTTATGATGCACTTGAAAGTCTGGAACGGCGTCGAGATGGTTGGTCTCTAGAAAGAACTCGTGGGGAAAGGGAGCTTGGTAGCAGTAGTAGAGACCCACCTAGGAAGCGAAGGCTAGTGGAGGATGGGGGTCGACATTTGGACCGATCACCAGATAGTGAACGTTCATCTTCATCTCGTAAGCGTCACTGCCCTGCTGTAGCATCTCCTCAAGATCGTAGTCCTGAAACAAATTTAATCAGAGACCGTTATAATACTGATATTGATCGGCCCTCTTCTCGCTTACTCTTGTTGGATCGTCCTTCACCCGTCAGAGAGCCACGTAAGGGGAGTTTGGAGAGAGGCCAGAGTGAGAAGCGGGAACATAAAAGTTTGGTGGAAAAAGAAAGAAAACATCGCACACTTGCATCAGCTGCCATCCAAGAGTGCAAGAGTCCAGCTAAAAAGGATGAGCATACTTCTGAAGGGAACAGTAGCAGTGGATCTCGGCTGAAGCCACCCCAAAAGCAGCAACAGCAGGATGGAACTTCAAAATCAGGATCATCTACCAAACTCTGCCTAGCCTGGCAAGGAATGCTTCTGTTAAAGAACAGCAATTTTCCATCAAACATGCACCTGCTTCAGGGTGACCTCAGCGTAGCTAGCAATCTGCTGGTGGAAGGAACAACTGGTGGCAAAGTGGCCCAACTAAAGATAACACAGCGTCTTCGTTTGGACCAGCCCAAGTTGGATGAAGTTACCCGTCGTATCAAAGTAGCAGGACCCAATGGATATGCTATTCTACTTGCTGTGCCTGGTACCACAGACAACCGTGCCTCATCCGGGGCTGGTGAAGCTAATACCACCTCTACCCAGCGACCATTAAGAAACCTGGTGTCCTATCTTAAACAAAAACAGGCAGCTGGAGTGATAAGCCTCCCAGTAGGAGGCAACAAAGACAAAGAAAACAGTGGGGTCTTGCATGCTTTCCCCCCCTGTGATTTTTCTCAGCAGTTCCTGGATTCTACAGCAAAGGCCCTGGCTAAATCGGAGGATGACTATTTGGTCATGATCATTGTTCGTGGTGCATCTTAAAGTCCTAATGCTTTCTGTGCTTATTCTGCTGCTTCATACAACTCCCCCTCCTCCAGTGTCTGCCAGGTGCTAAGCTTTAGTCAACACCCTAAGTATAATTTTAGATCTGTAGTTACTGTTATTTTCCCTTTATTTTCTATAAACTCTAGAGAGCAAATATATTAACTGTTCACTAGGCTACCCTCAACTGTCTTGCTAGTGACAGTATAGTAAGAAGGGATGGTCTGCTTTCACTAAAATATGAAACATTGAACAAGCTTGCCTCCCTCTTTTTTTATCTTTTAACTTGTCCTTGTTCATTTCACAACTTAAATTCTAAATTGCCATACTTAAAACATTCATAGTTCATGCCCATTCTGAGTCTTGCAGCTTCCATAAAACTATAGATATAATTTCAAAATAATTCCTAGTTTAAAAATGTAAAATCAAATAGAATTAACTCATGGTTGAGTCCCTGATACAGCTGCCATTAAGCCTTCATGGTGCAATGTAATTTTTTTTCAATTGGGTTTTCAAGTTTTGTTCCCAAATTTGGAGAAATGCATACCCTTGAAGAATGTTCCTAAATGGTATTTTGCTTTGTTGATTTTTTAAAAACGTGTGTGCATTTAAAGGTTGTAGTTTTAATGAGAGCTTTACTATAGCCCGTGAACATCATGAATTTCTGCATTCAAGAAGCAGGTGGTTTATGGTATCATTGTTCTTATTGCCCATTGCTAATTGTAATAGGCACAATGAATTCTGAAGTGTAACTTGGAAATGCAACTTTCAAAGATGGCACTTAACTGTTGCAAAAAGTTCTGCCATAAAACCATTTCAGTTATTCTATCCCTGTGGAAATAGAAAAATAGAATACCTGCTCAATATTTTTCAGGTAAAATATAGACATTATGCGAGGTTTTATAGTCTGGTTTGCACTGTTTTAATCTTGACACTTTTGCATTCACTTTATATTTCTAAATGTTGGGGAAGCAATTCAGTTTACTAAAAGAACATAATTCATTTGAAAGCAAGCCTTTAAAAGCAGTTCTTATTTTAAAAAAAAATATGTGATAAGACTTAGGAAAGAATCAACAGTTTAAATGTGTGGCTTTTTGCTTGGTCTCTTTTCTAGTCCAATATTTTTGTTCGTTTGTAAAGCCACTGTACAGTAACAATAAGTTTCTCATGTGTAAACCAATTCTCAAGTTTGAATAAGTACAATTAGTTGAAATTTGGCTTAGTGAAACATTGCTCAGTGAAATAATATTGGGAAATGTGCTATTCTTAAAGTATTTTTTTCAAGTAGAGCCTCACTTCTGAAACCTTTACACCTTTTCACTTTTTAAGAATGTGGGTATAGTAACCTAAATCCCACAATTCTGAAATACAAATTGAAAATATAAATTGTTCTGTAATAAATGAAACTTGGAACTGTGAACCAAATTAAATCTAGCCACTATTATAGGCAGAGTCACTAAGACAGTTTTATGTTGCCTGTATTGCATAACATATTGGATTGTCCATATTACTGCATTTGTAAATGCAGTATGCTGGTGGCTACACAAAGAGTTTTCTTAGTGTATTTATTTGAAGACGGAATTTGCTCTATGTTTAAAAGCCATCCTTGTATTTTTTGAAAATAATCAGATTTGAAAGTCAAACTTGTTGGCAATACATGCTCTCCTTGTTAAAAAAAAATCCTACAGAACTTGGATTTGAGGTAAATTGTTTAAACATTCTAGCATTTTAGGCAACTTTTGGGAACTGGTGTTGGAAAACCCTACACCATGGATTTCTTTTTCTATTTTAATTGAAAATTATGTTCAATGCTGCTTGTCATGATTTGAACTAGGTAAAGGATATGTGAAATGGGCAATTCAGTTTTCCAAACCCTTATCTAAGTTTTTTTTTTTTTAAAAAAAAGAAAGAAGATAGTCCATTAGTAGCTATAGAAAGAAAAAGAATGTTAGGAGTCCAATTTAGACTAAAATGATAACCAACATTGGATGGCACAGCACTTAGTTATAGATGCTATAGCATTGAATTATATGCTTTTTTTGTATTAGTATAATAGCAGTGCAGTTATTCATTTGAGCCAACCTCCAAGACTTCAGCATAGCAAAAATTAAGTTTTGTGACACATCTGTATGGGAAAAAAGAGGATTGTGATCTTTTGTATATGGTATTATGAAGCTTTAGAGCAATGTATATTGGAATGCTGCACATGTCCAGAAATTTGTTTCCAGAGGTACAACATTAGGATGGAGAATGTGTCTTTTCCTGAGAGTCACTTAATACCACTTTTGGGGGAGCTGGATAGGAAAATCTTAACTGACATGTTGTCTTTAGGATTTAAATTCTATAATTGGAAACTTAAGAGGTTGGTTTCCCCCCCCCCCCTTAAAGTTAACTAGGAGTTTTGCATTTTGACAGTTCATCATACGTGGTTGGCTGTCAGTGGAGTATCAGTTTAAGGCTACCTCATTTACCAGGATCCACTTTTGTGTTTTTACAATTGCCTCCCAATTTTGATTATCAAAATTTGAAACACTGGGAGGCAAGATTAGCATTTCTAAAACCAATATATTTAGCGTGAGTCTTTTCTTCCCAAGTTATATAAGGGGGAAAAGAAGAAACCTTCCTTAGCAATTTAAGCAAATAGTTGATTATGTTTTTTAAAAATGTAGGAATACATCTGAAAGATAAGTCATTGGATAAAAATGAAAAAGTTAAGGGTAGCCACTTAAGCATACAAAAGAATAATCCTGATTGTAGGGTGCCTGATTGAATGGCTTGGAAAATGAAGAAATTATTGTAAAATAATTTGATGTATGTTAATTTCCTTGCCTTCGATTTTTTCCCATAGAGTAAACAATATTAGCTGCTCCAGATGTGTCATTGAAGATAAATATTTCTCTTTACATTATCCAAATTATTTTGGAACAACTAGAAAAATTCACAGATGTGGGATGAAGAGAATCCATTGCATATTTTAGCTAGTTTTCTCCAATAAGTAAAGAGTCTGTAGTTGGAGATAACATAGCAATGTGAAAAAAAATATACTTACAAACAGAACACTAAATTTCATGTTCTTGTTTGACTTTTTGAAAGAGAGAGAAATTGTGTGAATTGTGAAAATTCAGTTGATTTTTCTCCTGTAATGTTTTTTTTACTAGTACAACTGATTTTTTCCCCAATCTGTACCCTATATTTTAACTCCCTGAACTACTATTTGTGCATTTATATACAGATGTTAATTCATTTCAAAAGCTTTGTGCCAGTGAAGGGTGATTGGTGCTTTCAGACATTACCTAGAACATGAATAGCCTTGTAGTTCGAACAGTTATCTGTAAATGTAGGAAGAAGACAGATCTCTTGTAAACTTTTGTACTGAATAACCTCTTCTTTCCTCCTGAAAGCAAGGCTAGTGAAGTGCTGAAGACCACAACGGATTCCAAACTCTAATGGACCTTTGCGAAGAAAAGCGTTGGCTTATGTGGAATTTACATGGGCCTCATGGAAGAAAGCTTATCTGTTTAGTATTTGTGCATTTTACTAAAATGCCAGCTTAAAAAGTTGTGTATCTGCTATTTGTGATGCCAATGCCCATGTTTTTAAGTGGAAAATTGACCTCTTTGCTTTGTGCTGTGTACACAAGATTTCTGCAAAAGTAAAGGAAAAAAAAACCTTTTTATGGCTCACACAGCTTAAAATAGCTGTCACTCAAAACATGCGCTCACAGTCGAGCTGATTTTGTTTCATTCTAAATAAATTGTTTCTTTTGAGGAAAGTGGTTTTTCTGCCTGGAAATGAATTGACGACAAACCTTTGACCCCTTTGTTTGCAGCTGTGGGGGTACTTTACAACTGCTCCTGCTGCTCCTTCTCCTCGATCTGATAGTTGTGGGTCTCAAACAACAAACAGGGAAACCTTCGCTTTGATATTGACCATCCTTTATATCAGATCTGAAGAAATCTAGTTTGTTGTGTTGCTGTGTCCTCTTGTGTACGGTGAATGGGGATCAATGGCTGCTATCTCCTCATCTTTACGAGGAAATGGTGCTGTTGCTGGCATGCAAGAAGCAGGGAAAGCATCTTAAGTCTCAGAACAGTGTACAGATCTGGGACTTTGTTGATTTTGAAGAGCTGGAGTTCCTGAATTTTAAGTTCTTGATTTATTTTGTTCACCTAACTTGTTTGGCCTTAGTTCTGGTTTTAATTTGAAGAAAGTTTGAAATTGCTTTGCATCTTGCTCATAACCTTTTCACCAAATTGAAAACAAAAAGAAAAAGTAACTCATAAAAAAAATTAAATGATAGCGCGTTTCCAGACACAATTGAAGAGCTCCTCCACAACCAGGGGCTTTTCTTCAGAGTTATGCAGTCCTGGGTGTAGTTCTGAATGGAAGAAGAGTTCCTGAGAGCTAGAGTGCTGTCATTTTAAAACCTGTACGATTGTTATTGGTGCTCTTACTTGACCAGTTTTGAAGCAAATGGTCTACACACCTTGGACGTGCATGCAACCTTGATCGTTTCGTAGGTACCACTGCAAACTTTTAGTTTGTAGTACAGATGATATCAGGAGGAAAAAAGTGGTGAAACTTTGAAAAAAATTGTGCTATATTTCCTGCATTTGGGGATCTTGAGCTTTGGAAAGCTGTTCCCACTGTGCAGGAGTACAACTCTTTGCTGCAGGAGACTTCGGGGCACAGTTGACAACACATCACCAGAGGTCAAGAGGAAGCGAACAGTGCTGCACCTGCATCGTGGCTGCAGAAACTGCATTTGTTTCCCAAGTCTCTTAGAATTAACTAGTTGCCATTTGGCATGCAGATGGAAGACACCTTGAAATGCAAGCTTGCTCTGGTTGCCTTGAAATGCTTAACCTATTGTGGATAAAGAACACTAGCGCTGTCCTGTATTCACGCAGGATGATTGCTAGGCAGCAGGTGCTTATCAACCAAGGATGCTACGATTATGGGTTCCCATGGCAAACTGCTGTATAAAACTCTTAAACAGGTAAGGGGTTTTTAAGAGGTCAAAGTGAATTGTAATTATAAGGAACTGGGTTGACTGCTTTTAGGCTTTGCTCATTGTAGCCTTCCAAGTTCTTAAATGATTGGTTCTTACTAACTTTTACAGTACCCCTCCCCCAATGCAAAGAGGTTTAGTACAATTAAGTATTAATTTGAACATCATTTAATGCCACTTTCATATTGATTCCTGAACTTTTTAAATGATGTAAGTAGTTGTGAGAGTTGAGCATTTATGGTAACATTTCTGTTCAGTAAATTACTGAAGCATCTAAGAGGCTTGTATCAAATACAGTAATCTCTAACAAGGTCCAGGCTATCCTTTGTAAGAAAAGTAATGTAAAAAAGGTGCATATGGATTTCTGGGTACATACATAACAAAACAAAACATATTTATGTTATGATTGGTCCCTTTCCTATGTACAGTGAAAGATAGTGGAATGTGAAAAGGTCAGTTTTTAGATAATTGATTTTTTTTCAATATTTAGTTGATTCAGATATGACTAGAGATACAATCAGTTTGCATATGGAATGCTAGAGGATATCACTAGACAAGCTACTTAGCAGAAATAGTTACAATTCTAAACTTTAGAATTTTTCTAGATTGGTAAGTAAGAAGTTCCATTAAGTATCATCCTTTATTGGAAGAAAACAGCTTATTTTAATACATAGGTGAGAAGGTGTGGTTAAGTATCCTCTATGATTGCAATCAAAAAAGTTTGTATTTCTAACAGAATAGCCTTGCTCCTATCTACTCAGAAGTAATTCATATAAAATGGAATTTACTGTTATATATTTCTCTACAGAATTGCATCTTAAAAGAGTTTCTAATGAGGGAATGATACAGTTAGCAAACTGAAGAAGATTCTTCAGATAATTAAATCAAAATATTTGATATATTTTCCTTTTATTGTTCAACCCAGTATATAACTGCAGTGCATTTGGTGCTGGGAAATGCTTTAATAGCTGTTCCATAATAGTTATTTTTTCACAGGATTGGTCAGCCCCTCTGGATTGATTAGAGGGACATCTTTATCTGAAAGGTAACTGTATTTTTTCCATAAGAATGAAATGCTGCTTAAGTTGGCTTTGACTATGACATAAGAATATAAAATGGACTTAGCCGTGTAAGCATTCAAAGCAGACTTGAGAAACTTACGAAACTGCACTTCGTTAGAGCACTGTCTTAAAATTATATATTGTAAAACAAAAGCTGAAATAGCAGTTTTAATATTAAACAGCATTTAATTACTAATTTTGGAAAATCTTACTAATTTCAGCAAAGAAAATTATCCCACTAAAATCAATGAAATTGAAAAAATGATTAACTTTGGCAATACTGTACATAACTTGTACAGTTAAAGGCAGCTTTTAGTCACCAATTCAAATATTAGGGCTATACAGTTTTACGATTTCAGACAGTATTTCATTAAAAAGGTAAATAATCTAAATGAAATATTGCCCCTCTGCAATGGTACATAATCCTCACATTTCTCCTTTTTTCTAGCTGAATATAACAAACCTAACTCTTTGTTCTTCTGACTTGTGTACCGTAATAGGTATAGTCTTAAAGAAGATTTTGGAAAATACCTTTGCATTAAGTCCTTGTAGAATTCATGTTTCAACATAACGAAGACTATTTTTAATGTCATGATAAACCAAGATTTATTGTAATGTGCATGACTTTATGAAGCCTTGGGCTTATTTACATTCTTTAGGAGAATAGGTTTGTATAGCTTTTAGTTTGATTGTACTTAGAATGCTCTGATGTTTACATTAATTATATACTACATTAACTTGTGTTTTGAATTGGCTTGTTTCAGAAATATTTATAATTGATATTAAGCCAGAATCTCTAGTTCATATAAAATGAGATGCTCTGGTTAGCTAGAGTTAAATGTTTCCACAAGCATTCTTGGACTCACGCAAAAGGAAAGGTCCGGGGATACTGTGATTGGTGTATGTCATGCAATGATTGACTTCGTGTCCATAGTCTGGCAAATGATGTTTATTTTTTCTGCACTAATTTAACAATGCAGCTAAGATTTGCCTCCATTATTTTATCCCAGATATGCTTAGATGAGGTGGGGAAAAGCCTTCCTGAATGTAACATATAAAAATTAATTGTTCAGGAATTATGGCTGCTAATTGGCAGAAGTTAAACAGGCGATCGCAAGGGAAATGGCGCTTCAGGTTAGACTGGGAATTCAAAAAGCATCTCAGAAGATAATAATATCTATGTGGTTGCTAGAAACTGCAGTTACTGGGAGTCAAGTTTAGTTGAAGAATACCTATGCATTTTTTTTTACATCTTTACAAAGTATTTTTACAAATATTTTTATTCCAGACCTAAGCATATTTAGATAAAATCCTTAGAAAACAGTGGGTCTTTATTCCTGATTAATTTGCATCAAATTGATTTCATTTACTCTGGTCAAATAATTTAAATTTGGATCTAACTGGAGAATTATCTTCAGTTTAAAGTTGCATCATGTGCAAAGGTTTATCACACATAATGAAAATATGCACATAGGATTTGATATATGACAAAGTATTCATCATAGTGAGGATTGCTGTAATCCTACCCACAGGTAGCATTTTTGAAAGGTATATGAGAAAAGTGCCTACCTGTTATGGCAGTGAGAGCATAGGAATACTCGCAAGAGAAGAATGCATAAATAAATGCACAATCTTCAATGGTTGTAGAATTGAATTATTTATTCTGGGTAGTTTCTTATGTGAATCAGAATAAATTATGCAAAAAAAAAGGAAAGAAAGAAAAGGCAACAGTGTGTAGATTTACACAATTGCATTTGATTTGAGCACAGAATATACATAACTGTTCATTTAAAGCCAATCACTATTTAGTATGGCAGGTGGGGTCGGAATCAAATTAAAAACACGAAGAGAAGAAAATTCCTTGATTATATTCCTAAATTAAATGTGCATGGTTCTTGAACAGGTTGAACATTTCAGGCAAATCCCTGGTGTTTTCAAGTGCATTATTTACTAAGTTACTGTCCCCAGGAGCCTGGTGTTAAGTCTACCTGCTAGATATGCCTGCTGCTTCTAGGTTCTGGTGATGACAAACTTTGATTATTAAGGACAGTAATAATTGGACTTTAACTCAAAGAATAATAGGGCATACAGGCCAGAGCATAGAAGACATCAAGGCAGTCACCTTTTGGGTGTAAAAAAGCATTCAGTGGTACTTATCAAGATACTTTGGACAGTGTGCTGTGTATATATTCGTTTCTACTTTCCATTATGTTTTATATACTTGAGATAATTTTTAGTCATAAAGGTATCTTCATTTCTGAATAATCTGAAGTGGTTTGGAAGATAAATCGGAGGTTGCCGTTTATTTAACTATTTATTAGATTTTTAACCCACCTTTATTACCTTTTAAGTAACTCAAGGCAGCGAACATACATAATACTCCTTCCTTTCATTTTTCCCACAATAACAATCCTGTGAGATGGGTTGGGCTGAGAGAATGACTGGCCCAAAGTCACTCAGCTGGCTTATATGGTATGTATTCATTTTTTATTTTTATTTTTTTGCCTTTGGGTCAGCCTTGTTTTGTGGTCACCAGATAAGATACGTTCTTACAGTTTTCCAGGAAACATTTTCAGGAATGGTTTGCCTTTTCTTTCAACCTAGTACTGAGAGTGTGATTGGCCCCAGGAATAGAATTCAGGTTTCTCAGCTTCTAGTCCAGCATTTTAACTACCAGATCCAACTGGCTCATCGTTGATTTTCTGGGTCACACAGTTGGTGAACAAAGTACCCTCACAGTTTTCGGAATGGAGAATACGGTATTTCAATTTATTTATTTATTTCAACTTAATATAAAAAAAAACAGTAAAGATGGCAAATCCCATCAGCAGCAGTAAGCATATGCTCAGCAAAGGGGTTCAATGACTCTAGCTCAGAACCTGGGGAAAAAAGCTAGATTTTTAAGGCCATCCAGAACAGCATCAGAGGGAGCTCCATCTTGCTCTCAGAGAAAGGCTTATTCTAGCAGACAGGTGCTGCAACAAAGAAGGCATGCTTCTGGGGTCCTGTTTGATGGCACTACTTAATCAAAGGAATCTGGAATGCCCCAACCCTGTCAGGTTGAAATGCCCAGGCTGATATCACAGAGAGAGGTAGTTTCTCAAGTAATCCAACCTCCTACCAAGTAAATCTTTATAGGCCTTAACCACCATCTTGAATTGCACTCAGAAGCAGATTGGAAACCAGTGCAGCTTGCAAAGAGAGGTACCACATGGGCACAAGGGTATATCCATCACTGCCTGCACCAGTTGAAGGTTCCAAGGAGCTTTTAAATGGCAGCCAAATGAAAGATGCATTGCACATCAAGGTATGATAGGACGAAGTCATGAATGACTATCTGAAGGGCCTCTGAATCTAGGAAATGATCCAGAGGGTGTGCTAGATGAAGCGGTTCAAGTGCTTTTGTGGCACAACTGTCACCTGCTCATTGAGCAGGAGCTGTGTATCCAGGAGACCCACACGTTGTACATCACTTCAAATTGGGGAAAGTCAATATAGAGTGAATACAAACTGAATACAGGGTTTCTATTTTCCAGATTGAATGGTTAAAAGAGAGAGCATCTTGATGCAATGTAACAGAAAAGATACTGTATATTCTAATTCTTTAGGTATCACACCATTACACTATCTTTTTAGCCAACTATAGGCATGCTGAATGTCTAAGGTTTTTTTTTAAAATCTTAGAGGATAAATGTATTTTGGGTTGAAAAGGCAGTATTAACAACTAATTGAGTTAGCTGTTGGAAGTGGCAGACACAGGAGAGAGCACAAAAATCATTTTTAAGGATATATCTTTTAGTTCCTTTTAAAATCTTCATGGTGCTTAATTATTACAGTGGATAGTGATATATTTTTCTTTTGTGCGAGGACAAGTAGTGAACAAAATGAAAACAATGTTAAAAGTTTTACTACAAAATTAAAGAGTAAGCTTAGAGTTCTGGGCTGCAAAAATCTGAACAAGCATCAAAGAGTTAATACTTTTCTTGCTCTCTTTGCTGCTGTTTAGTGGTTGTTTGGATTATTGCAGACCAGTTTTTGTATTTCTATGCTATGCTACGCTACCAGACAGAACTCTCTAATGACAGACAAGACTGGGGGCAGTAGAGTGGCAGCACAATTGAAACATGAAATGCCCTGGACTTAAAAACATAAGTGTCTGATATGCAATGTTTGTTTATAATGAGAAAGATCCCCCCAAATAGGAATTCCATTAGTATATTGCTACCTACCAAAATGTTCTCAAATATTTTGGAAAGCTTTTCAAAAAATCTTCTAAATGACTGCAGCAAGGTGCTAGGAGACCCTTTAATTCCTAAATTAAATTGGATATTATTATTTTTTTTGCAGCTTTGCCTACTTATGTCAAACACTAAGGAACTTTTTTTTTTGTTGCCACCCTGGAACTGAAAACCAGGTTCACACGTGAAGATTCAGTTAAACTAATTTATTGCTAAAACCCTATGCACAGGCTTCAGTTGGCGCAGGAATCAATCAGCATCTGCTTAGAATTAGATAAAGGTCAGTAGCACTCAAGGGGGTTGGACTTCATTCTCTCATGGCTACTATGTAGGGTTCCTAGGCTGATCCCTCTTTTCACTCCCCTCCCCCCAAAGTTCTAACATCCCTTCTACAGTTTTAAAGGCAAATTGTCTTGAAGAAATGTTAAGAATTGGTAAGGTTACAGAACATTATACTAATATTTCTATTGATCTATTACACAAGATAGTATATTGAATCTAAAATATCAAGAAGGCTTCTCATAGCATCTTTTTTATTTATTTATAAAATGTATTGGCTGCTCATCTTACCATAGGGTAACTCTGGGTGGCTTACAGTTATATATACAGTTAAAACAAAAAAAGTTAAAATCAGATATTAAAACCAAGGACACACAAGGAGGGTGGGTGATTATCTAGAGTTTAGTACTGGATTATGGCTAAGCTTTACCAATTAAAATAAAACACTGCTGTCTGTAAACTATTTG